CTATCTAAGTTGGTGAGAGGGAGGGGAGGGGGGGGGAGCAGTTTTTCAAGGCAAAACGTGCCTGCGCATCAAAAGGGTAAAGTCCTAGGGGGTTAATCAATCCCGTCTGAGATGTGAATGGAGTCGAACGTGTGAGGGATTCCCTCACACGTTCCACTTCCATTCAGAATCGTAGTCTCGTATTGAATGCGTATGTGGCCTATACAGTGACGGCGGACTGGATTAGGGCTTTGGGGAACCGATCATAATTATCATTGCCGGTTATCCATATACTTTGATGTCATCGGCATACATTTTCACTTTTATCAAAGATGCATTGAAATATGAAGGTAAGTCGTATGTGCAACTACGGAGGCAATACACCGCTTTTCGAGCACCTCTGGTGCAAGGAACCATCTGCGAGAACCTGTTACCCACTCTGATACATATGTTTCTATCTTCCAAGTAGGTCTTATTCGAGACAAGAATGTAGTCTTCGATTCCGAACTGGTGAAGTTTGAAAGCTTTTTATGACTCACCCTTTAAAAAGCATTGGACAAATCTGAGAAGATTGCACGTATACTCTTCCCTTCGCTAATAGCAAGCTTCCAATCAAGCGTGCAGTCTGGCATTTAGTGTAACTGTGGAAGCACTACTAATAAAACCGTGCTGTTCCATAGAAATGAAATTTTTCTCTTGGGTGCGGTAGAATTTAACGCGTAATATTTTTCCACTTCTTCAGCAGGTAGCGCTGTAATACATATAGGTCGGGAAGGAGAGGTTGGTTCAGTGATTTCAGAAGTAGCAATAGAGATAGATTCCAATTGAGGTGGACTCGCTATACATTAGATACAGATAGCTTTGTTCAACGACGAGGTGTAGCTTTTATAGACAGTTTGAGGAATACCGTCAAAAGGCACCGAAGAGGGGCAGTTCAGTTAGTTTAATGCCACTTCCTGGAAAATTATTACACCTTAAGGTAATCGAGCGCGCAAAGCTACTGCAGAGTTAGCGTTTGTTCTTGTGGCAAAAATAGAAGGAACCGCGAAAAGCTTCTGCTTTTCGAGGATCAGTCAAAGGCCCTCCGCCCATTCTTCTTAAAGTAAAGTTATGCTTGGAGGTGGTTCAAGCCATGACGACAATCACATTTGGCTGAGGAAGCACCGCGAGGGCCGGCGACGCCCACTCGCGACTGCAGTCCATTGTGGACTGCATGGTTCAGCATGACCATTTTTTGAATTTCGATTTGGGGATTTTCCATCCATCTGACTTCGCAAAATAAGGTTATGGCTAGTGATAATGGTATGCAGAACTCGAATTCTGATCAGCTACTGACCGGTTCTTATGAGGAGCAGGCAGAAGATAAGGATGACCCAGCTTATGCGCTCCTCTTGGGCAGTGTCGATTTTGGATCAAGCGAAATTGCGGAATACAATAGGTTCACCCTCGATGAGGACTACGGCGTATATGATAATGTCTTGAGTTGAGAAAAACCAATCGATTACCTCAAATTATTCTTGGACAACAATATTATGAATTTGAATACAGCATATGACAATGCAAAAACTGCGTCGGAAACACTTTATCGGGAATCGACAACGGAGAAATTCATAAGTTTTTTAGAAAGTGCCTTTGATAAGAGTACCCATATTGAAAGATTATTACTCTTCACTCTCAATGTGAGTATTCTTACCCAACCCATTTGAAAGCATCCGGTCTAGTTCAATTATGAGTTCGATGATTACCAGATATAGTTTCTGGGATTATTAACGAGCTTGCATTTGGTTGATAACAGCGAAAATGCTTATGACCGTCTTTACAAACTATCTCATTTTTTGAAGTTGTTCAATAAAAAAAATTCACCACAGGTATTGTATCAAAGCCAGAAGATTTCCTGGGACCACACAGTATGTAACTCCATTCAGACCAGATTTAATGTTCCGAAAGAAGGATCGTTAAAAATTANTCGGCAAATGATAATCCTGGCAAACTTTTTTTTACTGAAACATCCGTAAACGATAATCTTTCCCCTAAAGCTAGGGAGTCGGTATTTAGTTCCACGGCTCCACACTTCCAATTAGTTCGCACCTTTCTCGCGCATCCACTCACTCGCCTGTGGGGTGACCTCGCTTAATTAGTTGGCTGTGACCTTTCTGGCAGTCTGAGTGAACTGATATTGATTTTATGGATTGGAAACTTTATTATTATCATTACTGATATTATTATATTATTATTTGTTATTATTACACATTTCAAAATAATATGCAGTTGGGACAATACAATGTAAAAACTCAAAATCTTTATATTATAAGGAAATTATGAAGCATCAGTGACGTATCTATACATTCTCCTGCAGAATTGCTCTGTTTCCTGCTCATTTGGTCCATTCTCCGTCCACTTGGTCCCGATAGATTAGAACGTGATGCTTTCTTCCCTTGCTTACCTGCCTTTCGCAATTTAGGTGTGCTCCGGATTTGAAGTAGCTGTAGCTGCCCCTAGGATTTCGAAAAACGAAGGGTTTTGGTTGACAGAGCTCACGGTGCTTTTGGGTGCTGAGAATAAATATAAAAGGAATTCGGAGCTACAGCACTCGAGGGAACAGAAGGGGTTCCAAGAGGTGGAAGGGGGGCAGATACATGAAATAGAGGTGGTACAGTGTATTGTGGTAGGCTAGCTAAATACAGGGATTCGTAGGAATAAGAAGGAGCAACAGTAGCAGCTAATCTTGAGTTGAAGCCGGAGAAAGCTCTGTAGACGAACTCAGAGTATTACAAAGAGACACCGTGCTGATGCGATGACAATCACACTACACAGGTGATTTATAACGCTTTCATCCGCATGTTTAAATACCTATAAGTGACCTACCGGCGGTGTCCAAAGGAAGCGATATAGGGTGTAAAAAAAGTAAGAAAGGTCACTCTGCTAACTAGTTTGCCTGCAGACGTCTCGTGAGAATGAATGCTTACACGATGTGATAAATCCTTTTCCCCATCCTATGATTTTTCCAATCATTACTTTAGCCTCCACAGCTTTCTGTGTTGCATTATTAAAGTCTTGCATATTTATTTTTTTGTTTTGCCTTATTTTTCATGCTTCAAAAGTTTCTGAATCATATAATCGATATTGTTACTCCTGAGTATGGCTGTGTGGCAGAGAGGTCAGCAGCCAACCAATTAAGCGAGGCCACCCCACAGGCGAGTGAGTGGATGGGCGAGGAAGGTGCGAAGTAATTAGACGTGGAACTAAATAGGCTCACCCCCTAAAGCTAGGGTTTTGAAATAAGTTACTAGTTGATTACTGACATGTTTTGGTTATTGCATTAGTGGCACAGTCATTGAGGGAGCATACATAGCTAAACCTGCATAGATGATGCGACAAAACTTTTTGTAGATGTCGTCAACGGTTGTAGTCATCAGAGGCGCCCCACCAACTAATAGAAGAAAAATAATTTGACAATCTAAGCGGGAGTATGCCTGGTATGGGCGAATAAATGAGAACTTCAAATGCTATTATAGTGTGGTCGGACGCTGCAAGAGGCGGAACTACCAAGATGTTCTAGCATTCTGACAATGAAAGCATCAGATAATATCCAGAGTAGGCTCTCCACGGATGAGCATTCTTGCGTATTGAATAAAGCGATAGCATTAAAAGAATTTTGATAGCCCGCGCTGTCGTGCCGGCGCGCCGGCTGAAGTAAATCGAATTAGTTCGTGTGTAAGAAATCTACGTCTGTTACATTTTATTTCAGGTCAGAGTCAGGGTTTTACGGTCGATTCCTGACCGTGAAATAAAATGCAGATAAAATGACTTCTTACATACGAACTAATTCGTTTTACGTCAGCCGGCGCGCCGGCTCGCCGGCCGGCGAACTATAACACAGCCAGAAACCTACTGGCGGTCGAAATCTTAGCTCTGCTTCTGTTCCAATCATGACAAAACCACACGATCGAATAACGCATCAACAAGAGCTTTCCATCTTCCAAAGGAGAACTAGGGAACTAAAGGGGATCTGAAGGGAGCTTATTATATTACTACGAATATATATTATAAGATTATCACGCATATATTATTATAATACCAGTCGGGCCGCCCGGCTAACGCCGGGCTACCCTCCTTCTTATGGTGACGCCTGGCTTCGCCGGGCGCTTCTCCTTCTTCCAAGAAATTTGCCATGAGTAAATAACACTTCGGATTCTCCTTTTTCTCTGAAAGCTCTACGCCTTCAGTATTAGCTCTGAATTGGGAGCGATTTTTTCTGTAAACCATCTTCGCTGTGTCCGGATAGAACACCGTACAATATCACAAAGGCGATTATTTAGAGAAAAAAAGCCAGATGGGATAAGGAAGCGTAGCTTCGCGAAATTTCCGTGCAATTGGAATACTTTGAACGCTCTAGGGCCAAATCGTCAATTTTCGCGCAAACTCCGCCCCCTATGGGCAGGTTCCTTTCCTGCCACCTGTAATAAGTGTTCCCATCCTGTTGCCTGTATTCCTAAAAAGTTTGAATGCTCTAGGGCCAATTATGAATTTCTGTTACAACCCCGCTCCCTGTGGGCAGATTCCGGTCCTGCTACACTAACTGTCCACATCCTGCCGCATGTACACTGCAGAATTTGAACTATCTAGGTCCACGGTGACAGGAGTTATGAATTTCTGTCAAGACCCCGCCCCTTGTGGGCGGAGTCCGGTCCTGCCATCCTCCACAAAAGTTCCCACCATGTTTCCAGTAAACCTAGCAAGTTTGAACGCCCTAGGACACAATTGACAATTTTCGCACAGACTCCGCCCCCTGACGGGGCTTAGGGTGGGTCCTAGGGCGTCCTGCCACCCACCATGAGTGTTCCCATCCTGCCGCCTGTACTCCTACTAAATTGAACTCTCTAGGTACCACGCGAACCGGAGTTATGAATTTCCGCTCAAACATTTCGCACAAACCACGTCCCCTGTAATCGGAGTTCGGCCCCGCCACCCACCATTAGTGTTCCAAACCTGCCGCTTGCACTCCTACCAAATTTGAACTCACCAGGCCCAAGTTTAAGTTTTTCACACAAACCCCGCCCGTTTTGGGCGAAGCCCAACCCTGCCACCCATTTTCAGCGTTCCCATCCTATCTGGGTTACTCCTATCAAATTTGAACGCTTTGTGTCCACGGGTACTGGAGTTATGATTTCCCGCACGAACCCCGCCCCCTGTGGGCAGAGTCCGGTCCCGCCACCCACCATTGGTGCTCACATCCTGCCTCCTGTACTCCTACCAAATTTGAATTCTCTAGGTCCACGGGAACCGAAGTTATGGATTTCTGGTCAAAAACACACACACACACACATACACATACACACATACACATACACATATACACACATACATACACACACGCTTACATACGCAAACAAACCAACACACTTAGCGCGTTATACATATGTAGTAGAATAATACTTCTCTTCCAAGCTTACGTGTTATTTCACGTGAATCATTATCATGCCTGCGTGGCGGACGCACAAACGGGCATACAAATAGACACACAAAGTTAGCGCTGTATATATATCACCAGTTAGCTCCGCACGCTATCGCGCGCCCCAAATAGTGATTTAAGCGAAGCTATACATCCTGTACTTCAGACCATGAGCTAGGTATTCCACAGTCATCTAATTATTGAGTTTTGACCGCATGAATCATTCTCTACACATTGCCCATTTCACTAACACTTTTAATGAATTGTTGTCGCTAACTGCGCCCACGTTATGGGCACCCCACCCACCCGTAGTTGTTGACCTCCCCTTGTTGGTCTCTGACCACTTTTCTTACGGCCTCCAGAACTTCATGGAACGAGTTATAAATTTGCCACCAAACTCCGCCCCCTTTTGTACTGGCTGCGATCACAATTGGCAGTCAGCCTCCCCTTCTTCTCCGACTTCTATCTTCCTTTTTCCAGCTTATCGTGGCTTCTCAGAGCTGAATTATGCTGACTGGGAAGAAACGATGTGAGCTTTGAGGCACGCTTCACCCATTGTGGGCGGGCCTCCGCTGACGTTATTCATGCTGGAGACACCTTCGACAGTACTTCCCCTACTTCAACTTTTTCCTGCTCTGTTGCCTCTCTCCAAACCAAATTATAAATGATTCCATAAAGCATTGCATTTTGGAGAACACCATGCCCATCAGGGGTGGGTCTCCCTAGTTCGATCTAACTTACCAATGCAACCTCTAACCACCTTTACACGACAGTTTTGAAGCCATCTTGTGACTGAATTCGGAATAATGGTCCCCAATACAGCTCATTTCGATGCACGCCACGCCCACCGGGGCTCCGCCAAGCTGATCTGTGCTTTATACTTCTTGGGACATGGCCCACCCATCCCACGCTTGACCCGGTCTCTCCATGCAGATCGTGTTGACGAGTTGTGATTTTCAGTCCGTGACGCCATAATTTGACTGGATTTTAATTATTGGATCGATATAAACAGCAACGATTGGGTTCCCATTTTAT